ATTATAATATTATTATAATATCATATTATATGATAAAATAATAATATTATTGTTATTAATATAATTATGATATTATTTGTTACAATATTACTATTATATTATATTACGAGTCTGAATTTTAGATTAGGAATATTGTAAATTTTAAATTTCATTAGGGGTATTATGGGTATTATGAAAGTTTCATTAATTGTACTATGCAGATTCTCGCACAATCTAAAAGCTAAAGTTGTCTTTAGGCTGCTTCTGATTTTGGCTATAGATTCTTAAAAAATTCTTCAAAAAACACTTTTAATGAGATTTACCAAACACTAAAATCAACTTCTGCTACAAACAGAAACTAATTTTGAGAGGAAAAAATAATACCAAACTAAGCCATAGTCTAGAGATATGCAGTATTTTCAAACCTGACTTTTACTATAAGGTGACGAATTTAAATCCACCACCTTCAAGTTTATATATATATATATATATACATGTCTATCTTTTAAAAAATTACAAAACACTCCATTTGTAAGTCCAGTAGAAGTGTAGAACATAAAACACTTTAGTTTAAACGTTGAGAATTTCTCATATACCAAAAATACACTCCATGTACAAAAAATTTTTAATCAAGTAGATGTTTTTGTAATTTAGACAAGATAAGAAAAAAAAAGCCACGACTCATGATAATTTAAAAAAAAAAACAAAAAATTCGTATTGCCTCGTAATTATCATAATTTTTATACGGCTAAAAAGCTTGATTATTAACAGGTTATTTGTGTAGGACTTTCACAACTCTTGACTCTTGTTAACAAGTTTTTAGAGTGATGATTAAGAATTCGTTACTCGTTAATTAATAGGTTAAGAGCATGTTTAGTTTGATGATTTAGGTTTTTAATTTGAGTTAAAATGTGATTTTATGTGAAATTTTTTTACTGTAATAAAAATTTTAGATGTGACTGTTTCTGAGAACTTTTTATTATAATAAAATTCAAATCGATAAAATGAATTGAGCTTAATTATATAATAATCTATTTCAGTAAAAAATATTTAATCTTTTGCGTGGGTATATTTGTTCAAAACAACAATGATATAATACATACTATATTCCAGAAATATATATACACGCACATCCATGTATGACTGTGTATATTCGAGGAGCGAGCAGACTTAGGAAATAATTAAAATTCAAAAAGACGACAGCGAATACAAAACAAGGACTACAAAGGAAAACGACAATGGCAGGAAAAACGACAATCAATTAAAAGCGATGGTAACCTAGAAAAATAACATCACGTAAAAACACGACGATAAATGGAAAAATAACCATAAAAATCCACAATCGACTTCACAAGAAAAGCGACGCTGTTCTAAAAACGACAATTTCATGAAATCGACATCAGAAATAAAACGAGCAAGAGAACCTACCACAATGTCAACTAGGAAACTAACGACTTTGAAGCTCCAGTAACTAGAAAAACGACAACAGTTCAGTTCAGATGAAGCTTTAACATGAGGAAAGCGACATCATAAGTAAAGCGACAATGAAATGAAAAACGACAGTAAGATCATAGAGAGACACTAACCTGAAAAATATCGTTTGGAAAACGATCATAACTTTCAAAAGCGTATTACTTAGCAAACGACAATATAACTAACTAAAAGCAGCAATATCCAAACGAACCAGAAAACATGGAAGATGACAGGTGGGAAAAGGACTAAAGCTTTTGCGGCCAAAAAAGAAAAAAAAAGGGAAAACAAGATTAAATGAGTAATGATTAAATAGCGACAGTAACATCAAAAAACTAAGGATTTTTAGCACATTTGCCGTCGTTATTTAGTAAAATGTTTCAAAATTTTTAATTTTGGTAAGTTACCCTCTCAATTTATAAAGTTATTGCAATATACCTGTAACGCCCTCCGAAATTAAATTTATTTAATTATGATAATTATCGTTTATTAGTGTGCCTGAATTAATTTTCTTAATTAATTATGAATTTTTAAATTTATTTTTGGTAATTACAACTTCACCCCGCTTTACTTTTATTTGTCTTTCCTTATTATTTTCTTTTCCTCATTTAATTTTCCTTTTCTTCCTTTCTTTTCTTTCTTTCTTTTCTTTTCCCTCCTCTCCCGTAACCCTTTCACTCACTCACACTCTCTCTTAGTCTCTCTCTCTCCCTCACCGAGCTCTCTCTCTCTCTCTCCCGCCCATCTCTTCCTCTCTCTTTCTTTCAAGTTTTCCCTCTCTCTCAAAGTTTTCTTTCTCAAGGGCTGGATTTAAACCAAAAACGGAGGTTTCTAAGAGATTTTCAACATCAAAGCTTAGATCGAGGTAAAACTCTTTGAACTTACTTTAGATTTTCAGATTTAGCCTTATGGAACTCGTTTTAGTCGAGTTTGGTGATTTTTGGTTTAGATTTCATTTTTGAATGCATTTTGATGAAACCTTGATGAAAATTAGGGGTTTTTGATTCTTTGGACCCTAATTATTGATTTGAAACTGGATCTATACATTTTCCTTGAGAATATGTCGAAATCGAACCTAAAATTTCAGGATTTGGCTTTGTTTCACGCGGATCAGCCATGGCTGGCCCTGGACCTCTTTCCCACCGGTCGACCGATCACCACTCCACCGACCGACCGGTGGAGCTACCCTCCTCTGTCACCGGTCGACCGCTCCCCACTGAACCCGACCCTAAACAGCCCAAAAACCTTGTTTTGACCACGAAATTCGATGTGAGAATGACCTAACCTCATTTGAGAACTCAAAATGAGTGGATTAGCCACATGGATCCTTGTTTTCCATTCGATTCTCCGGAATGAATCTCTATTGTCAAAGAATCATGATTTGAATTAAGAATTGTTTATGAACATTGATTTTGAACTATGGCACACTAATATGATACAATTGCATCTAATTAAACGAGAATGTTTGGTGAGAAAGATCAAACTCTAAATTATTGATTTTGATGGGAAAGTTAGTGGCACGATTGGAATTGGAGCCTCGAAAGCAAGCAGAGCTAGGGCTTCGTGAAGATAGCCACAGGTTTGACATTCAAAAGGTAAGATATTCTTGTCCATATCATTGTTAGCCTTACTTTAAATGGTTTTAGCCAATGAAAATGTTTTAGAACAAAACATATTTAAAGAAAATGATTTTAAGGAAATAGCATGAGAATGCTATTAAGTTTTCCAATGATTTTGGAAATGAGATTTTAAAGAGTATCATTTCTTAAAATGAAATATTTTAAGGAATGATATAACGCATGGTGGCCTCAGAGATCGGGATGTGAGAATCGCATCCTTGGGGGCAGGTCTTAAAACCCATACGGATCCACTTCTTGTTTAGTGGAACAATGGCTCTGCACTTTTCTCTAGATAGACATTTTTACCGCTTCTTGTTTAGTGGTATGATGAGCTGCACACTTTCATTATACAGACATTTTCTACTATCTGAGTATTTCCTTTTCTAAAAAGGGATGACCGGTTCCTGGTGTATATCTTCAGACCGTGAGTACCTTTATTTTAAATGCTTTATAAAATTATATCCTACTGGGCCTTTCGCTCACCTTTTTTGTTTTCAAATGTATTAAACCCCTCCAAGCGACGCGAGAAGTAGTGCGGAGTAGGTAGCTACTACCGGTGACGTGGACTTGACCTCAGGAAGTGAAGAGTTGTATTTCTCTTATCTTTTATCTCAAGGCATGTATAAAAGATTATGGATTGTAGACTTAAATATTGCTAGACTGTGGTTGATGTCGCATTCACTTTTATTTATATTCATGTATGCTAAACATCTGTGGGAATTCCTGACTTGATACCAGGTTTGGTTGGAAATTCCACCACTTTTCTTGAAATTAAATTTCTTTTGAATGCAGGGGCTTGTTTGGAAATACCTGGATGTTTTGGATTTGAAAAAAATTAAAATATTTGCCAATCACTCTCTCAAACAGGTTTAAGTTTCTAAACAAGCCTCCACGTCACTAACCCCGGTTTGGGGGCGTGACAATGCCACATTTTAGTAACAGTTGTGTTAAATTAGTGTCGTAAAAACACGTTCAGCCAAAAATTTTAATATTCTAATCAAATGTAACACACATCTTTCGATATTCAACTTTTAATCCCTTAAATCTAATAAAAAAAAATTGAGCAAATTTAATTAAATGGGGCATATTACAACAAATTTATAAGTAGGGACAACTTGTCAAAATAAAAAATTTAAAGGGCAATTTGCTAAATCACAATAAGTTCAAGGGCAATTGTGTTAAAAACCCAAAAACAAAATAAAAGTGAAACCAAACTAAAGAACGACATCATTACGAAAACCACATTGAACAGGAAACGACATCATATGAAAAGCAACGACAAGTAGTCATTCGTATGATCATTTGCCCTTATCCAAATTCCAAAGTAATGTCCATTATTGGCCGGTTTAATTACAAAAATTCATTCTGAAACCGCCAGAACTTTAAGATGTAACATACGTTCCCTTAATTTATATTCTATTAATAACTCTGCCTATTCTATTTCATAGAGTGACAGAATTTATTTTGTGAGTGTGATTAATATGTAGAGAGTATTCTTATAAAATGACTTATAAAAGACTTGGGGTTTCAATAAAAGTGTAAAATTTTTTAAAAGAAAAACTCAAAATAAATTAAGCGCTTAACATTTTGGGCTTTTAGGGTTAAAGGTAAGATGAATAAAAAAAATTCTAGAGAAATTGAAGTTCTATTGAAAGAAACCTGTTTAATCACTCTTGATTGTTGCAAGCAACCTGTTGAATCACTCCCGATTGCTAAGAAACCTGTTTAATCACTCTCGATTGCTGCAACCTGTTTAATCACTCTCGATTGCTGCAACCTGTTTAATCACTCCCGATTGCTGCAACAGAGGAGATAGCTAGTGTTGATATAAATCCAATATTTTTTATGTCCAAGCTCTTACTACATCTATATTGGTGTACCCGTATTGACTTTTTTTTGTCCCTTTTAATTATAACTTCCATCTATTTTACAGCTAAAGGCCCCAAAAATTTAAACATGCTTATTCTGTATTTGACTGTGTTTGAAAAGAAAGACCATCTGCCTACTATACTTCTTCTCCCTTTCCTTCCTGTTGTTTTTATTGTTGTTGTTTTTTAATGATAATCTTTCTTCTTTCTTCTTCTTCGTTGTTAATCCTCATATTTTACTTCTCATGTAATAATTTACAAAGAATTAACTATCATGAAGCTACTTGCCACATGATGAAACTGTTAGGTCAGTGCCTTAAGTTGATTTTAGAAAAGTAAATATTTTATGTTTTTTAATAAGTTATTATTTTTTATTTTTAAGCAAGAGTTATTAGGAGTCAATAAATAAATGTTTTGTGTGCTAAGAGAAAAATATAGAAAAAGAGTGCCTCCTTTTAAGAGAAAAATGAGGAGAGAGATAGACAAATAGTGTGAAGGGTTTTGAGAAGAGAGAGAAAGAAAAAAATTTTGTTAAGTGTGTAATTCTGACACTATTAGTAAAATTTCTCTTTCTTCTGTGGATGTAGAAATTTTTTTCAAGCCACTTAAACCTTTATTTTCTCTATTTTTCTATTATTTTTATTTCAGTTTATTTTTTTATTACGTAAGTGTAAGAGTGTGTTTTTTTCAACATATATATGAACACCATGTAAAGAAACAAAGAGAAGCAAGAACAAAAATGGGGAACGAGAATCAGAATGAAAATGGTTGATTATTCATATGATTAGGAGAGTAAAGTTGTAATTGCAGACTCAATATCCCACCAAGCAAGGCCATATAAACATGTGTACATTATGAACAAAAAGAAAAAAGTTGTTAACAGAACATAGATCACGAAAAACAAATGTCATGTTTTAAAGTTGAAAGGAAAAAGTATTACAAAGGTTTAGTCGAAGGGATTATTTGCTTGGGCAGCTGGTCCTAGGGGCTGCTTATTTGCCAACTGACTTAATTTACAGATGCGAGAGAAATAGATAATACAAATACTTGAGCTACTATTATTCCAAATTGTAAGTTGCATTAACATCAACTCAAGCAAATCTTTCTTGCCAAATTGTGATTGAACAAATGTTTATTCTTTCAACAGATGTTTATTTCTTTATTTGAAACAACAATGATTACAAGAATGTTCAAGAAACATGATTCTTATCGATCTATGACATTTCAAAGTTTATAAGCTTCTAACATTTTCATACATTTAAAAGTTTGTAAGCTTCTACGTAAAAACAGATTATCTGAGTGTATTCCGTAATTCCATTGACCCTCCTTTTCTCTACCGACATTGGGCACACTACATAAGTTACTCTTCAAAGACCTTTTCTCTACCGATTTCAGTTATTAGCCTTTCAAACTTGTGTGGCAACACAGCCAAAGCAGCTTGCTCGGTTTCCATTTTCCAACTTCCATCAGCACCAGATTGACTATGTTCAACTGATAGCATTCTTCTGATCAACCCCCTCTACACAAGTTCTTCATTCATGGTTCCGGTTCAAAGGCTAACTGTCCAATGCCTACCATCCTTGTAATGTCATCCAAAAACTGACATTCAAAAATTTCCAGTGTGATCTTTGAGTCTCTCTGAATTGCCATACGAGAAAAGCCATGAATCCAGGATAATGTTACTTGCTGATAGTAACTAATTAACGTCTTCAAAATAAGAAGCGGGTATCTCTGGAGGAGAAGCCACATTTGACACGCATTTTAACTGTATTTCCACCCAAATAAATTGGAGTAAGATCACTATCTCCCACATCAGCAAATTTAGAACAATATATAAAATTAAATCAGTACAGTACCTTATGATTCTTGTATTTTTCTCTTATGGCATGAAGGCTCCCTCCTCTTCTACTCAAATACAAGTCAAGGATTAGAAGAACGCATTCCCTCAAATCTGCTGGCTTATATCCTGAGTATTCCTGGAGAGCTGAACTCTGAGATAAGAAAAACACAAAACTCAGTAACAAATAAATATAAATGTTATATCCAAGGATACCTTCCGATAGTAAATTCTTACCCAAGGATGCCTATTTGGACGGAGAATGAAATTTGCAAGAAATACAACAGATGCAGCCACCAGAGAAGGCAAGAATTTAACACAACTGTAATCCAACAAACTGAACTCCGCAAGGCAATCTCCCAAGAACTCTAACTGCGCACTACTAGCCTGGAAATCACAAAACCAACACAAAGATTCAGCCATAAAAACTCCCCATAATGCCAAAGTCAAAACTAAAGACGAAAAGGGTGTGGCTGAAGCATTTTACCTTGTAGCTTCCTTGAGCTACATCAATGAATCTTCTGCAAGAGCAAAATTGAGAAAAGAAAAAGTGGCACCAATGAGTAAAACTGCTTGTGCTTATAAAATACTGCCGCAAAAAGGAAAAGCGTATTCAAATTTTCTTACCTTAGAAATGTTTTTGCTGTAGGATTTCCCATTTCAAACTTAAGGGATTTAAGTATGTCAGCTTCCATCTTAACAACCTTCATAATCACCACAAAGGTAACATCAATAAAAGAACATAAGCAAATTCCAAATCCCATCTCAGGTATAAAAAGTGATAGACAAATACCTCTTCCTTTGTGTATGTATTATCAGTGATGTAACAGAAGTCTTCCACATTTGGAGGGGTGATTTCTTCATATTTTCTGGACAAGCAAACCAAAAAATCAAAATCAATTAGACTGAAAATTGAGCAACTAGAACTTAACTGGGTCCAAAGATTCAGAAGCTTACGATGCAATGAGCATGGAAGAAACGCCTAGCAATTGAATCCTCTGTCTAGTGACGGCATTCAAAGAAAGAAATCGATCGATATAAGAAATGGAAAGAAAAAGAGAGTCGGAACAAAGCTTGTACTCCTCCGCAACCTCCACCAACCAATCCACCAGTACTCCTCTCATGTTTGCAGTAACATCTTTCTGAACCTTCTCGAGATAATCCGGCAAAGGTCTTCTCTTCGTCTCCGCCTAAAAAACAAAGAAAAAGAAAAATCATCTTGAGAATTTTCCCAAATCTACAATGAGAAAACAACAACATTAAACAGAAACCAAAATAATAAAAAAAATCTAATTACCTCCATCTTATGAAGATACTCATAAATGTCGGAGACGTAAGGCCCGCACATTTGGGGATCATCCGACGTCGTATGGACATGCGGCTTCTCATCGGAATCAGACTTGGAAACCGCCTTCTTGACTTTCTTCGTCTTCGCGGCAGGCCTGGGCTTTCCAGGCTTGATCGGATCCGCAGAGGAAATGGTTTCGGACAAGTTGGTAATCTCACCCAAAACGGCGCGCTTCTTCTTCGCCACCGGAAGCTCGGCATCGGCCCCGGCCGCCGACCTCTTCACGGCTGCTCTGGTGATGCGGACGCACTGGGCTAAGGGCTGCTCCGTCGCCATTGGGGAAAATACCCAGCGCTCTCGCTTTTCAATTTCGCTCTCTGATTGGGTAGAGAGAGAGAGAGAGAGAGAAAGAGAAGCAAGAGATGAGTTGTGGAGGTGAGATTGGGGAGAGGGGAATGGGAGATTTGTAGTGACTAGTGAGAGAGTTGGAGGGAGAGAGGTAAAATTATGAAAAGTGAAAGAAAGCGCCATTTTTTTTTTATTTGTTTCGTTTGTTTCCGTACGATTTTGAACAAACGCTGGAGTTTGCGCGCTTTTTTAGTTTTAGTTTCAGTTTCAGTTTGGGGATCTCGGGCTTTGGCGTTTGGCCGTCTCTCCTATTTTGAGTTTTTTTGGTTCAAATTTTGAAAAAATTTTGCCTTTTTTTTTTTTTTTTTTTTGGGATTCGAAGCTGTTATTTTTAGTACTTCCCGGTCTCTGTTGAAAATGTTGTTGTGGGCCCGGCGGGCCAATCCATTTTGGTTCTTCCGCTTTAATTTAGGACGCACTTTTTTTTTTTCCCTTTTTCAAAGGCGCGCGATAAATTTCATATTACATTATTGGTAAATCTAGAGAACTGGCCCTCTCATATAAGTTGAAGGAGTTAGAGTATGTTTGGTTGGAGAATTTAAATTATGATTTGAATTATGATTTATTATAGTGTGTTCTCTCATAAAAAATACACGTAAATTGAAAATGATTCTAATCACATGATTCTAATCCATGAACCAAACATCTACTTAATTATGAATAATATCACAAATAGTCTTTCAATCTCACTTTTAAAACGTTACACAATTAGTTTTTGAGGTTTTTTTTTTTGTTTTAATTTTGGTCATTCTATCAGTTAGGTGTTAAATATTTAACGGAATCTGTGACAATTATGGACTAAAATTTAAAATATATAAAGTTTAGAGACTAAACAATACAAAAAAAGCAAAAATTAATCTACTCATAGAGTCCTTAAATTTTAGATGTTTTAAATTTTAGTCTCTAATTTTCACAGATTTCGTTAAATATTTAACACTTAACAAAAATCAAAACTGAAACAAAGTACAACCTTATGGACCAAGTGTGAAAGGTTTTAAAAGTCAGGGACTAAAATGAGATTTAATGCCAATCTCAATGATCATTTATGGGATTAATCCAATTAATTAAATAATTCTAAAAAAAAGAGAGTTAATTATATATATGTCCATGATGTGGCTGATAAAAAAAATGATGTTAATAAGTTATGATATTTGTACATAAGTTTATTTATAAAATGTAATAAGTTTATTTATAAAATGTAATAAGTTTATTTATAAACTGTAACGACATTTTTATCTTTAATTGACCACTCATAAAATTAGTTATACAAATTTATAATCATCCTTTTTAACAAAAAATTATAATCACCCCACCTATGTATTACAAACTCAATAATCATAATATGGACATATTAACAATATTGTTAAATTAAGGACATATTTGGTGCATCGTATTGTATTGTATTATATCGTATCGTATAGAATTGTATTGTATTATTTCTATACAAAATGGTGTTTGGTTTATAGTAAATTACATGAGACTATGTTTACCATCATATTGTATTTACGTATTAGTTTGTAATCAGATAAAATTAAGTCTAATCATAACGTAGTTCGACTCTAATCTCAATCCAAATGGGAGCGGGCAAGGAAGAATGTAGAGTTGTTCAACAAGGGTATTTTTGCAAAAAAAATTAAAATGTCAAATTGTAATTTTTTAAAATTGAGGGGTAAAATTATAATTTTGAAAAAGTTAAGGGTTCAAAATATAATTTTTTAAAAAGTTAATATTTTTTAAAAAGTTAAAGGGTTAAAGTGTAATTTCTGAAAAATGTACACCTAACATCGTTTCGATCCCGAAATTTAACTTAAAGATCAGTCCCAAAACCCGATCTCGACCCTTGATATTTGTTAAATATTTTGTATGTTTTATAAAGTTAAATTAAATAATACGATCTAATACATAGGTTTTTATCTGTATTAGATATCACACTATGTATTGTATTAAATTTGAATTTCGTATTAAACTATATAATATATGAAATGTTGCCAAAATATTGTATTATTCTTAAATAATACAATATAGAGTGCTTATACGTCCACCAAACATGTCCTAAAGGCATAATATAAACAAAGAGTTTAAAAGTTATATTTTGTATAAATCTTCAAGTTGAAAATCTAGATTCACAAAAAATAGGTTATATAATGAACCATGATTTTATTTAAGAAAGGAAATAGGAAAATTTATTATTTCAATTCTTAACTGAATTTTTCATAAAGGAAAAAATTATAAAATTAATTGTGAAGGCGCTCGAGTTGTTATAACTTATATGTTTCAATATCCATAACAAAACTTCGCTTTTGGATTAATATAACATGAAAGGGAAAACATAAATGAAAAAATGAACTTGCCCAACTCAAAATTTTGAATTTTCAACCTATAAGGCAGATGCAAATAAATGTGCTCCAGTAATTGAAGAAGTTGCCTCGTTTTTTTCGCTGATTCGAGTTTTGCTACAGTAAAAAGTTCTCAGAAACAATCACATCTAACTTTTTTGCTACAGTAAAAAACTCTCATACAATATCACATCTCAACTCGAATTAGTAAACCGAACGGGCAAAATTGAGATGTAATCAACAGATTGAAACTACGTCCATACACACATCCATGTAAGTTCATATTAAATGAAGTAGTAGTTCGCAACAATAACAGTTTCGCGTTCAACATTTATGTTACATAAGTGTACCCTTGTGCTTGCTTAATATTACTTAGAGGTGTAAATATAGGACGGGCTAAGCGTCGGTTTGATATTATTGTACGGTTGAAAATTTCTATTATTGTTATGTTGTTAGTTAGAAATTGTTGTGACTAGAAATATGTAGGTGTTTGATAAATTTTTTTTTAAAGTTGTTTTGAATACCATAAGCAGAAATTTAAGTGTTTGGTAAGTTATGTACAAAATTACTGTGAAGATATATAATGACTAAAATAGACATACTTTAACACATATTTATAATTAGTTTTATTTCTATTTTTATAGTCAATTTCATAATATTTATACACCAAAATACTATATATATATAATTTTTATTTTATTAATTAAAATATCTCTAAAAATAAATTGATTTTATTTAAGGAGATAAATTATATATCTATAAAGAAATTAAATAACGTAAAGAACTGAAGGTAAATTATTTTTCAAACTTGCAACATTATAATAAAAATACATTATTAAAATTTAGCATAAGATAAATATTAAATATTTAAAATAGAATATATTTTTTAATTTGATTTGGAAGAAATAAGATAAGTTGATTGGAAATTAAGTTTTATTATTAGTGTCATTTTAGTAAATTTAGACAATGACAGCAGAAGCTGCTGTGAAAAAATAACTCTTGACTTGTTTCTCAAATTTTGTTATAGGGTAGCAATTTTTAGAAGCTATTGGACAAAAACAAGTTTTACTAAACACCCTGACCTATTGTAGATATCAAACAGGCATAAGGGCTGTTTGCTTTGTTCTCAACTGCTTTGATTTCCTCCGCCGCACATTACATAATGTTAATTAGCTTTTTCTCCCCGCACAAATTCTGCGAAATTTTAGCGATTAATTATCTTTTTCGGGCTTAAAAACATAATATGCGGATGTTGTGAAAGTAAATAAGTAATCATTACATTTTAATTTGTATTAAACATGCATCAATAATGAGGACCTAATCGTTAATTAAATTTGTTCTGCTATGACTCCAATGTAAAAGCTGGTTTTTAAGCAAAATTTAATGTAAACAGAGTTGTTTTAAAGAGAAAATAACTATACATCTATAATACATGTACATTTATAAATATAGAACTAAGTTTTCAATGATTACGTATGCATGGTGGTTACTCATTAAATACAGAAAATTTAATAATATGACGTGAGAAGAATTTAATATCATTAATTGCCATTAATTTTTTCGGTCAACTATCTAATTTATTATAATTTACAATTGTGAATCAATATCTTGACTGAAACAATAATACTCATTCACGAGTAAATATTATAATAATCACTAAAACCACATCAGTAAATATAAAGTTATATATGAAAACATTACACTTTAAAAAAAAAAAAAGAGAACTTGCATTTAAACAAAAAGAGAGAAATAAAACACATAATACAATGCCAATGACCCATCGGAGGAGAGGAGTATGCTTAATGCTTAAAAATAAGAGAACACTTCGGCACACTAAGAACGAGCACACTTAGGGTTCGATTTGATAAAAACCCCTCCCTTCAAGATAACCTTCCAATCTCTGGAGGGATAGATCACCAACCCCCACATAGGTGAGACATCAGCGAGACAGCATAGACAAATTCAAACAGGACTAAAAAATTCACACCATCGGTAAACAACCTAACCAAGTGGGAAACACAACTAAGGCCGAAAAGTGGGCAAGCCACCTCCGTTATTACAAAAATAAAGCATTACAAATGCCGGCGATCAACAACTAAGGAATGGCGGCAACATCGCCTTTATTACACACCAAACACAAAACTAAAAATTAAAACAAAGAGATAACCCAAAAGACACCGATTGAATTTTCGTGAGAAAGCTGACCACCACTAAAAAATAGCAAGGGAGCTACAATAAACCAAATGAACCAAGAAGATACTGAAAAGGGGTCGAGCCACCGCTTCCATCTGTTGTCTCTGCCAAAAGGAAGAGCCTCACGGCCTATAGACCTACCGCCCTAAGACCCAAAATCCCCACCAAGCAAAAGACAATCGAAGCACCCAAACGACATTGAAGTTCCTATTTGCCTCTAAACCGCGAGGAGGAACGTAACCACTGTTGGGGAAATTCGGATTTGGGAGGATGAAAAGAATAGAGAATTCAGAAAGAAGGGTTTGAGGCGTATAGGAATACTTTCCTTTAAGGTTTTATTTGCCCTCACTTCTCAAAGTTTGCTAACGAGTTCTAAATGGCAAATTACCCCCAAGATACAACAAACCCTTGAACACAATATCCAGCAAAAATATTGAGTTCCAGAATAATGTATGTAATCTGTATTTTCTGTAGTCCATCATATAAAGACAGGGATGCATGCATCTTCTTTAAGTGTTACAACCTTTCACATAAAGATACCTTTTCAATTTGATGGTTATCTTTTATATGCTGATGCACTTATAACAATAGTTATTTCTAT